GCACCTGCGCGGTGGCGGCGGCGGGGGTCTGCGCGGCGTGCGAGTGAATCAAATGCACTCAAGAGTATCGAGGCGCGAGGCCACAGCTAAGAGCGGCGCGCGCCGCGGCAGTGGTGGACGCATTTAGCATCGCGCGACCAAAACAAATAATTTTGTTTTTATCGCGCATTGAGCTCATATAAAATAATGGATACAAAACAATTTATTAGTGAAATACTGAGTAGACCAGCAATATGGATGTCAAAACATCCACATCATAAATATAGGCATGTTATAAAAAAAAAGGGTGCGTGTACTTATGTACGCGCGTAAGAAGTTATACTTCTTTGGCATTATTAGAAATAGATTTTGATTGCATGCAAATAATTAATTACAATTAAATAATCAAAGACTGGAAAAGGAGTCATTAAAGCCAATAAAGTTCAGTTTACATTTGAAAAATTAATTAAATAAATATTTATTATTATTCTCTTACATTAAACAAATAAAACACTATTTATCTTTAAAACATTTAAAAAAAAAAAAAAAAAAAAAATATGTTTATTATGGAACATAAGATACATGTATCACTTATTCCACGTCATTAAATTTGAAGGCATCCCTACTCATCGGCAAAGAAGACAGAGGGTGTAGGCCGAGAGAAAAAGCCGGCGTAAAAAACTCTCTCTCTTTATTTCATTATACTATTTATTTTTAAGTGACTCTAATGTCTTCATCAGAATTTCGGTTTGTAATTTTAAATTAATCATTACTTGGTTGTGCATCTACGAGGCTTCTCCAAAACTACTTGCTTTCTGCAACAAATAAGAGAATATTAATTTAAGCTCTGTCCATGCAAAACTTAAAATTTTTTATAATTCATATTATAAATTTTTTAACACATTTATATTAATATAATTATATAAATGTGTTAATAATATAATTTGTAGCACATGCTACAGACCTGGATAGCAACTTTCTTTTATTCTATTTAGAGATAGAGATAATTTAAATATAATACCGGTGTCTTCCTTGTAGGTTTCTTTGGAGTTGTTTGGGGATTCTTGTTGTTCAGTTCGACATGATTTTCTTTAACCTTTCTTTAATCCTACAAAATAATGAAATTGTTAAGTTATGTTGTCACTGTTGTGCACACCTTTGTTTGGCTTTTTTAGTATTCAAGTTATGTCAAAACTGATTTATTACCTTGTCATTGTTGGCTTTATTTGCTTTTGGGATATCAATTGTTTCCAAAATGATTTTATTTGTAATAACCTGAAATATATAAATAACATCTATTAATTTAAGTATCATGGTGAGTGGTTCGCACTCAGGTATTAAGGTGTATTATACCCACTGTCCATTATAAGTGGGAATGGGCTCACTTCTGGCAGGACAGAGTTTCGGTACTACAAGTGCAACATGGATGTTTTGAGGTATTACAATATCTCTAACTACCCTGTAGGGGAATAAAGTAATGTTGTAAGCATATGCCTATGCTTGAAAGGTTGAACCTTGAACATCACCATACATCATATTTATAATTAACATTCCTACCTCGACACCATCACAATCAAATTCATTGAAATCTACTTCAAACCATTGTGTCTCGAGAAGGTGATGGTGGCTTTGTTCCACCTCCAGTTTTTGATGTTTCACGGCGATAAGATGACAACTCTTTTTTTGTATTCAATTTAGTGCACTTCCACTGATTCATCAATTGTTTTTTGTCTCTTGTCCTTATATTTGCTAGATTAAATCTGATGTTTTGATTAAATAATGTGGTCATTTTTTTTGAGATGCAGGTACTTATTAAAATGTTTACTTCTCTGTTATATCGCTCCAAGCCTTCATTTTCTCCTTATTAGTATTCGTGCTTAAATCTTTGTTCTCAAGTTAGCTTCACGCATATTCTATTTCTTTTTACTTGTAGTTTGTCTTATTCCCATCTCGCTCGCGCACGCTATATCACACTGCCAATTTTGTGTCATAGGTGCGCGCGCAATCGTAAAATTTCACTCTCATCAATTTTTCATAACGCGCCTAAAGAAGTACAACTTCAAAAATTGTGGGACGACTAATAAAACTAACTAATATACTCTAAATATTGGCGCCGCGGTCGCAACTGGTCGAGCTGTGGCATACCACCGCAAACCGCGCCTCTCGCAGACCCTCTTGCCGCGCCGCGCTCCACACCGCCAGAAACTGTGGCCAAGCTCTTAGGCAGGTGTCAAACGACAACAAAAAGTTTTTATTTGTTGTTTGTTTGAGGTTGTCGTCTAAAAAGGAACTTCTGTTGAGCCTAGTTGAATTTCATTCTAATATTATAGAAAATGAAAAAAACTAAAAATAAATAAATAATAAATTGTTTAAACGTTTCATTATACAATGCCAGACTATTAATTTAGTGTGTTGCGTTGACTTGAAATGAAAACACAGAATACATATTTGTGAAATGACAGAAATAGCTGATTGGACTGACTGACGCCATTAAATTATTCTAGGAATAGCTGTTATTCCGTGCGAAACGGCGGTATAGTAACAATTCCCGAATAGGCCCACTATTCTTAGAATTTGTAGATGGTAAAACGTAAAATTGATTTACTCTCGATTAACTGACGATTTATTCTAAGATTAAGATTTACTCTTGTTTGGTCGAATCGACCCTAAGACTGTTAATGAACATTACCTTAGTTTGAGTTATAGTATTGTAGAAAATTAGGTCAAAATAATATTACTTATTAGCCATAATTATTGTATAGGCTAGATTGTAAGTCATGTAAAGTCGCATTTATTTTTGTGAACTTTATTGTAAGAAAAATACAAAAAAATTGAAAATCGGCGCTGAGACACCCTTATCTTTTTCCGTCGTATTGTATTTAGTCTGTTATGACAAGATTCATGTTGGATTAATTGGTTTTGAGTCGTAAGTCACGTCAAAAACTCGTCTTGGAGCGCTGTCAATTATCTTTAGACAGGAAAAAGTAGTTTGACAGCTCATAAACTACTAGATTTAAGTTTAATTATGACGGGCCTAGACTGCATGTGATTTATTTTAAACAACCATTGAAGCAATATTTTGGACAGCCCTATATAATGTTAACCGCTGATAACCTCTTATTAATTTTTTAGTCTTGTTTAATTCAGTTCTATACAAGACTCCGAGAAATACCTGCCTTTTAAATTGTTTGCCATACCAAAAATGAGGTGAGTTTTTATTAATATGCAATTTGATGCCTGCTTGGACACATATTATCTTCTATTTTATTGATTTTTATAGATGAGAAACAACTGATTTTGCCTGTAACTCAGCTTATCTCTGATCATCATAGTAATATGTATATTCTAACAAAAGCTTTCTATCTCTTTTTATCATAATATAATCAGAACTAGACGGAAAGAGACATGAATTTAGATTTATTTGCTATATGAGTATGAACTTTGACTAAAACTCAAAATAACTTTATTCATATAGGTAACCAAGTACACTTATGAACGTCAACAGAAAATATGTTAAATTGATTCTAATTTTACATTTACTACCAGTTCATAAGTCAATGGCGTAGAGCGGGCAAGAAGAACTGGCAAAAACAGTTTTGAGTCATACAAATTGTTTGAATTGGAGTAAATCAATTCCAAGGATTAGGATCATTTAAATAATCGCCATATTTATAAAAAGCTTTATTGATTAATTTACGTTTAGCGAGAGTTTAGAACGGTGATAATTCTCTAATTTCGTTTGGAAGTTTGTTGTAAAAACGAATACAATTTCCATATAAGGAGTGGTTTATCTTCTGGAGCCTGGTTGGTCGTACGCTTAGATAAGTTCTGTTTCGAGTATTATACTGGTGTAAGTCACCATTTCCCTAAAAGACGTTTATATTTTTTAGCAAAAAAAACTGACCAGATAGTGTCATTATATTTAATTCCTTAAACTTATTCCGTATCGACTCCCTTGGGGAAATACAACAAATACCCCAAACAGCCCGTTTCCGCAGCAGAAATATGGATTGTACCTCTACAGCAGTACCCACAGTAGAATACCATAGGACGCTGTGAGAATAGCCATAAATTGCGATGTATATGGCAACAATGTTTTATTAACGCATTTGACATTCGCTTTCTAACGGAAAGCGCGGGAAACAAATTTTAAATTTTGACATCTCAAGTGAGTTTTACCGCTGTATTAACAATTTGTTTATTCTGAGCCTAAACTGTTTCTATTTTTTTTTTGCCTCATGTATCACTGCAATTTAAAAAAATAAAGTACATGGCAATGGCATACAAACCTCTAATACCAATGATATAAAACATTTTTGTATTTGCAAAAAAAGTTGTATAATATGTATTATACCTTAATGAAATCCCAAATGAAGTTTAACTAAAGTTAACACGATATTATTAGACTGTGAGGCTGAGCGAAGTTCGCCGGGTAATAAAAATAATCAAAATCTTACGTCCGCCTCCGTGGGAACTAATGTTCCAACGCTAATTTAAGTAGATCTCTATCTGTTATGAACAATGCTTTGAGGACACGCGAGGCTGATCTTTTTTCCGATAGGATCCATCAAGCGTAAGATCTGCAGCCATTATTCCGGCAACAATTTTTTTTTAAATTATTGATTTAAGAGCAGTGTCGGCTTCAGCGTGCAATTTTCAACCCTGAGGTCGTAGGTTCGATCCCCGGCTGTGCACCAATGGACTTCCTATTAGCGTATTTAACATTCGCTCGAACGGTGAAGGAAAACATCGTGAGGAAACCGGCTTTCCTTAGACCCAAAAAGTCGACGGTGTATGTCAGGCACAGGAGGTGATCACCTACTTGCCTATTAGATTGACATATCATGAAGCAGATACAGAAATCTGAGGTCCTGACCTAAAAAGCTTGTAGCTTGTATTTCATTTTTATTGATTTTAAAGTTTTTATAATGTTTGAATAACAAATTATTAATATACTAAAGACTATCGCGTATTAAAGGATTTAATTTTTCAGATTCTTGCTGTTATGCTCTGTGTTGGGGATGGTGGCAGGGATGACACCATTCCTGAATCAGAAAGGTAAATTTAAAATAGTTTTTTATATAGACGAAAATGTCCCCTTATGGAGCTTGTCTCGTAAACGTAAATTGTTTGTCAATAATTCCACCCAAGTGCGTGAAATCTCCTGAATAGGGTTGCCAGATTTTTTTTCGGCCTATAATTTAATTGCTTAAATAGGCAACGGGAATTTAGTTTTATACTCGGCACAGTTAAAAAACAAAAGTATATAGTGACCATTTTTTTTAAATATTATTTCCGAGAAGCAAAGAATTTTTATTGGTTTTAGATTAGATTAATAATATATAAAATTCTCGTGTCACAGTTTTCGTTGCCATACTCCTCCAAAACGGCTCGACCGATTCTCATGAAATTTTGTGTGCATATTGGGTATGTCTGAGAATCGGACAACATCTATTTTTCATCCCCCTAAATGTTAAGGGTAGTCCCTAATATTTTTTTTATATTTTTAGATATTTTTTTCTGTTTTTATTTTTTTATGATACAGCATTAAAAAATACATACAAACCCCTAACTTTCACCCCTCTACGATCAACCCCTATTTTTTATTATAAATGATATACATGGCAAAATGACGTTTGCCAGATCAGCTAGTATATTTATAAAAATCAATACTATTATAATCGCAATTAAAAACGTTCATCAACTCGCTTTTTATTAACGCGTATTTAAATTGAAAACCTGTTAATTAATGTTAACTGAGATGTGGCCTATTGGAAGGCACGCCCAGGAGATGATTATTTAAGTGCCGCTTAAACCCATATTATACTGTCTAGGGTGATGGATGGGTGCAAGGAATTCCTGTCCTCCATATGAAACTTTTGGAAGGGGCAACGAGAGTTATTTTTTTTAATATACAGTTTTGACATATCGAACGACGTTCAGTTTCGCGGTCACTTGGAGGGAAGGCTAAATTAGCCTCCAAAAAGCTTGGTATGCTCAGCAAGGCGAGGCGGTACTTCACTCCGGGCCACCGCATGCAACTATATAAAGCGCAAATTCGGCTCCTTCCACTTGACCGTATACAACGCAGAGAGGTTCCAATCGTCGACGACCAATCCCTCTCCGAGCGGCTTGATCCTTTGGCGTTGCGTAGAGATGTGGGGTCACTCTGCATCCTCTACCGCATTTACCACGGAGAGTGTTCAGAGGAGTTGTTCGGATTAATACCTGCAGCTGAGTTTCATCATCGGACGTCGAGACAGAATACGAAATTCCACCCGTATCACCTCGACGTCCGCCGTTCCACAACTGAGCGTTTTTCAAGGCAGTTTTTGCCGCGCACCACCACTATGTGGAACCAGCTGCCCACTGAAGTATTTCCGAACCAATTCGACTTAGGGTCCTTCAAGAAAAGAGCGTACCAATTCTTAAAAGGCCGGCAACGCACTCGCGAGCCCTCTGGCACTGAGAGTGTCCATGGGCGGCGGTATCACTTAAAATCAGGTGAGCCTCCTGCCCGTTTGCCCCCCGTTCTATAAAAATAAAAAAAAACTCTTCATAACGAATTTCCAGTGACAGACTGAGAGTTTTCACTATAAGGACAGAAGAGAAAACAAATTTAACCAATAAAAATAATTTCTAATTTTATACTACCAATAGGTACATTATTCTAAACAGATATTGTGTTAACTTTGCCTTACGTGTTTTGCTATGCCAATATTTGTTTTGTATTTTTTGAGTATTTTGTCTGGCCATCTTGACAGTTTGTTTACGAATAATGGCACACGTGTTATAAAAATGGCGGGACGAGAACACTTAGGGTGCGTACAGACTATGTAACATATTATATAACTTGTGTTTTATAACACGTCTACATTATGTAACCTTGTTATTCTACATTATAACATAAAACAATACTGTACACATTAGAATAACAATGCAATATAACAATGTTATATAACCATTTTAAATAACAAAAGAAAAACAAAAAACGTAGATGCTGGGTTCGTCCTAGCATACATATCAATAACATGTTATTATAACATGTTTTATAACATTCAGGCTATGTTCACATGTAACGCGCGTTAACGCGCGTCAACGCGCGATCAAATTTGAAGAGCGTTCAGATGATGAGCGCTAACGCGCGTTGCGAGAGTACTCGTCAGTCTAGTTCGGTAGAACGTAGAAAATGGACGTGGAAGAGGCTATTATTTTGTGGTTATATTATAAAGAAAAATATAGAAAAAGAAAACGTACACATTGGGTTTATCCAATTTTGAAAAAAAATACAATTTATATTATATTTTTATACAAATTTGCTATATTCCAACTTGCTGACCTTTTTTCTACTTCATCGATTAGTAAGTCGATGTCAATATCTTCAATTTCACTCATTTTAAAAGCGAGAACAAAATATAATTACGAAAATTAATAAAATTACATGCGATCGCGATGAAAGCGCGCGCTCATCTGAACAGCAAACGGACATTACATTAATATCAAAGCGCGCGTCAACGCGCGATCACCTGCGTCTAGAGACTTTTTCTCTGAGCGCCGCGTTTACGCGCGTTAACGCGCGTTAACGCGCGTACATGTGAACAGTTGTATGAAAAATACCATAATCTCTAGTCGCGCGATTTGAAAACGCGCGTCAAGTTTTTGCCATCTGAACATAGCCTCAGTGTCCACATTATCTGAAACATGTTGTATAGCAATGTTGTATAACATGTTATGTTATAATATAGTCTGTACGCACCGTAATTAAGTATGGTATTGATGTCTCAATATGAAAATATTTCTTCGTAATATTGAATCGCTGTTGCGTTACAAAGAGTGAATCAATGACAAAACAAATTTTCGTGTTTTTCGTTATAACCACTGACGTTATAAAGACTTGAAGTTCTTTCCCCTTTCTCGGCCTAATTTAAATAATAATATGATTGGACAATTCACACCAATTGACCTAGTCCCATGCTAAGCTGGTGAAGCTTGTGTTATGGGTAGTAGGCAACGGATACATATTATAGAAAGATAGATAGACCTAACAAATATAAATACATATTTAAACACCCAAGACCTAAGCACAACACCAAATGCTCATCACATCTATGTTTTGTCTCAGCCGGGGATCGAACCCGGGACCCATGGATTCGCAGTCAGGGGTACTAACCACTAGACCAATGAGCCGTCAAAACTAAATTAAACTTTGACTTTGGTCTGTGCTCTACTCGTTTATGGCTCGATAGTCTGTTATCTATCAGTTTTATTACGATACAATTGTTTGACGTTTGCAATTCCTAATAGATAAATTCTACTAGATTTTAACGATGTTACATTTTATACTTTTCAGTTCCGAGCGGTTATTGTGAAACAGATCAACAAGTCCAGGGTCGTTGTGTGAAGATATCAGAATGCGCTGAGAAGGGCGATGGCGTTGATTTGTCCAAAATGGACGTCTATAGGTAGTGTTTTAATATTTTCTTTGGTTTTTGCAAGTTGCTATATTTTTTTTAATATTAGACATAGACATAGATAGACATAACATTTATTACATACGAAAACACACACACAAACACACAAAATAACAATACTCAAAGAAAAAATAAAATAAGACATATCAAAAACAATAAAAATTTAAAATTTAAACTAAAAATTCCCTTTTGCCATTCGGTTCGCTTCAAGTGTGCAATGTGTGTGTGCTGTGGTTGTAATTGGCCCTGGCTCAGCATTATGCTGAAGAGCAAAAAGTTCCCCAGCGCTGGTCATTCTGCCAGAGCCCACAGCAGCTAGTTTGCGCCTCAGTAGCAAAGAAAAATAATAATAAAATAAATTGTGCGTGTACTAGGTGTACACACGTAAGAAGTGAAACTTCTTTATGATCTTATTTTTCGAAAAATGATCTACTATATGCAACTTTACAGAAATTCGTTAAATTAGATAAAGTTTAACAAAAGGCTTTTATTATCATAGACATGAATACAAATATTTCATTTTACCTTATTACTACGAAGATTATTATAGAATTTCATTCATTGTAATAGAATTATTACTATCATTGAAAAACGTGACGATTTGCTACAAAATTTCTCCCGTACGTCGATAAAGAAGTTTCATTCCAACGCCGATAAAGAAGTTTGACTTCAAAAAGCAACATGGCGCGTAACCGAAAAATGTGACGCGTAACGAAAAAATGTTACACTACATTTTTTCCAACCTCGATAAAGAAGTTTCACTTCAAAAAACAATAATAATACTAAGTAGAAAATAATAATAATAATATTAAAGTTAGCAGTGTAAGTAGTGAAAATCGTGTGTAAGGGTGTATAGTAAATAAAATAAAATTAAAAGTTAAAAATTAGAATAATTGTTAATAAGTAGATATTTTTGTTTTTTTGGGTGGATAAAAACTATATTATTTCCAGTTCGTTTCATATTTCTCTGCCTAATTCGGTTAATCATAGTTGACCATTTACAGATTACTTAACTCAAATACAAAATAATTTTTGATTTACATAATATCATGACACAGATAGAGAAATCTGAGAAAAAAGAAGTCCCTGACTAAAAAGGTTTTAGTTACTATTTTTTTTAAATTATCAATGGAAAGGAGTCACATCCTAAATTGTCTAATTTAAATAAAATTCTCCAGTATTAAGTGAAGCTTAACAAGAAGCTACCCACCCAGTATCCATTATGAAAACAATTTAAAGAAGTATCATAGGGTTTCACGTCGGAAAGCAAACGATGATATGATGATAAGAAGTTTTAATATTTACAAAGAGGGAGCGCGGTACAATTTTCAATTACACAAAACTATAAGAATTGGGAACTTTCTAGATATATACAGGATGGCCAAAAAGTCGTGGATCAAACGCAAATAGGGGATAGATGAGGCAGCAGCAAAAAATTGTTCTACGGGAGGTCTCTAAGCTCCACCCCGGCAGAGTTATAATTTACTTTGCGTTTTATAAGAAAATTAACTTTTTTTTACTAATTCTTAATAAAATTAGAAAAAATTTACACCTGTATCTTTTTCATAATATCCACTAGATTGGCACTGATGTGTTCTTGCGTTAGACATACTATTCAAAGTTGTTTATTGATTTTATTGAAGATAATATTAAGTTATACGATATAATTTTTTTTTCAAATCATAACTTTTTGTTTTGTAAAGTAAGTCAAGTACAAGCTACCTCACAACTATTAAGTACCTAACAGGAATAAATACATAGAATCAATCAGGCGTCATATTTTCTAGAGGACACTTCGATACCGCGTTTTATAGACCAAGTGGGGCCATCTATGGATCATAATTGGTACTACAATAGGAAGTATTAGCAGATTTATTTTATCCCTTAGAACCTCTACCTGTCACTACCTGAAAAAATGCTGTCCTCTAGACGAAATAATAACAACGACGGAGCCACCACCAGTCGCCAAAACCAACGGTTGTGGGTATAGCAACCCATCACCCTTCGTCTTCCTGAAGAAGTCGTTTACCCATGCTGACTTCGGAGAGTATCCTTGGATGGTTGCATTACTAAGGTAAATATTAAATAATTCCAGGGTCATCTAATTAGTCTTTCCTCCAACTTTGACTTGGTTCCCTATGGAATAGTCTCTGGTACCGTGGGGTCCAAGTGCACAGGTGCTAATTAAAGATTTAAGTTGGTGCCTGGTAGATAGTATTTATTTATTTATTTACACTTCGTTGCATTAAAAAAGTGAGTGCGTACAAAGTGCACATGTCAGAAGTGAAACTTCTTTGGCAAACTAACTAACTTTAAAAATTTTAAGTCTTGTTCATATTTATACAAACTAATCTAATTTATACAATCTAAAACTAAGTTAAAGTTAAAAGATTTAAACTCTCTCTCTCAATCTTTCTCACTTGCTTGCACCCTACTCTCGCTCCATGGCTATGTGCTTCATGCTACGTTCGCCCTTTCTCACTCTCAATCGGTCTCAATAGCTCTCTCCCTTTTCTTCGCCAAAAATGCTGCACATCTTCGTGACGCTAATATTATTATTATTGCGTTTCATCCGTAAAAATTTTAGCCTCATGCGCAAAAAGAAGTTTCACTTCAAAAATTATTAATACCGGTACCGGTGACGCCAGAGCTGGCACTTTCCTGGCTCAACGGATAAGTATCGCAATACAGCGAGGAAATTCCAGCGTTAAAGGTACACTGCCACAGGGACCAAAGTTTTTATATTTATTTAAAAAAATTAAAACAAATATATTCACATAAATCTCATAAAATCAGATCAGATTTTGTGCCACACAAACAAGAACTTCCGTAAGGAACATAAGCACGCGATGACGTAATATAGGTTAGAGCGCGACAATACGCGTTAGAGTGGGACAGAACGCATACTCCGTATTCACATCTCTTTGACGAGATCGGTAACGTAGCGTGAGCACGGCCGGCGCAGCCGGTACGCGTTAGAGTGAGACAGACTATATAGGCGTGTGAGTCTGGTAGAGTGGTAGATTGAATTAAAATTAAAGAAAAAACGTGAATTAATATCCAAGAAAAAAAATACTGCATTTTTTTTTTTTTTTTATAGAACGGGGGCAAACGGGCAGGAGGCTCACCTGATGTTGAGTGATACCGCCGCCCATGGACACTCTCAATGCCAGAGGGCTCGCGAGTGCGTTGCCGGCCTTTTAAAAATTGGTACGCTCTTTTCTTGAAGGACCCTAAGTCGAATTGGTTCGGGAATACTTCAGTGGGCAGCTGGTTCCACATAGTGGTGGTGCGCGGCAAAAACTGCCTTGAGAAACGCTCAGTTGTGGAACGTCGGACGTCGAGGTGATACGGGTGGAATTTCGTATTCTGCCTCGACGTCCGATGATGAAACTCAGCTGCAGGTATTAATCCGAACAACTCCTCTGAACACTCTCCATGGTAAATGCGGTAGAAGATGCAGAGTGACCCCACATCTCTACGCAACGCCAAAGGATCAAGCCGCTCGGAGAGGGATTGGTCGTCAACGATTCGAACCGCTCTGCGTTGTATACGGTCAAGTGGAAGGAGCTGGTACTGGGGAGCCCCCGCCCAGAGGTGAGAGCAGTACTCCATGTGGGGCCGAATTTGCGCTTTATATAGTTGCATGCGGTGGCCCGGAGTGAAGTACCGTCTCGCCTTGCTGAGCACACCAAGCTTTTTGGAGGCTAATTTAGCCTTTCCCTCCAAGTGACCGCGAAACTGAACGTCGCTCGATATGTCAACGCCAAGTATTCCAATGCTGGCTGTGGCTTTAAGAAGAGTGTTTTCGAAAAGAGGAGTAGCGACAAAGGGTGTTTTTTTAGCGGAAAACGCGCAAACTTGTGTCTTCTTGGGGTTAAATTGGACTAGGTTTTGTCTGCCCCAATCTGAGACTCCACGAAGTAGAGTTTCAACTTCAGACACAAGTTTGTTCCGGTACTCATCAACAACTGCCCGAGAAATACCTGCCCGGCCAGTGTAAAAAGTATCCCCAGTACTGTCATCCGCATAGCAATGAATGTTGCTAAGTTTCAACATATCATTGATATGCAGAAGAAATAGGGTCGGGGATAGAACACAGCCTTGTGGGACCCCAGCGTTTACGGGTTTTAGGTCGGAACATGCTCCGTCGATGACGACCTTGATGCTCCGATCGGCCAGAAAGCTGGAGATCCAATTGCGTAATTTCTCGGGAAGCCCATAGGCTGGAAGCTTCGAGAGCAGTGCTCTGTGCCACACCCGATCGAAGGCTTTCGCTATGTCCAAACTAACCGCTAGCGCCTCCCCCTTGGACTCAATTGCCTCTGCCCATCTATGTGTAAGGTATACAAGGAGGTCACCAGCCGAGCGACCACGACGGAAGCCGTACTGAGAATCGCTAATCAGCTGGTGGCCCTCTAGATACCTCAAGAGCTGGCTGTTAATAATGGTTTCCATTATTTTGGAGAACAAGGAGGTTATAGCTATTGGGCGATAGTTGGACGGATCAGAGCGATCGCCTTTTTTAGGGATCGGATGTATCAAAGCGGTCTTCCAGCACTTCGGGACAGTGCCGAGCGAGTACAGGTACCGGAAAAGGCGCGTTAAGACCGGAGCCAACTCAGGAGCACAAGTACGCAGCACAATTGGGGGGATACCATCCGGCCCGCTCGACTTATGAATGTCCAAGGAAGATAGTGCTTTGCGGACAGCACGTTGCCGGAATGTGATTTCCGGCATCGAAGAATCACACCGCGAAATGGTCGGTGGTGATCTCCCTCGGTCATCCAAAGTCGAGTTAGACGCGAAGAGACAGCCCAAAAGGTCAGCCTTCTCCTTCGCAGTGTGGGCCAGAGAGTCATCCTCCCTGTGCAGTGGCGGAATGGCGGGCTGACAAAAATTCCCTTGGACAGCTTTGGCGAGAGACCAGAAGGCTCGAGTCCCTGATGGGAGTTGGGCCAATCTCTCGCCAAATCTGGCAATGTGCTCTGACTTTGCCTTAGTGATTTCCCGTTTGAAGGACCTGGAGGCTGAGTTATATGCTTTTTTAAGTTCGCTGGTATTGGCATCACGAGATTTCGCCGCTTCCGCCCATGCCTTAAAGCATTCTCGCTTTCGACGCGAGGCCGCCTTGCAAGAACGTTTAAACCAGGGCTGAGACTTGCCACCGATCGGCACCGCAGAAAATGGAATAAAGAGTTCCATGCCCTGCAGAACCACTTCGGCGACAGAGGCGGCGACGGAATCTGGAGCTTCCGGCGAAAAGCACATAGGCCCCCAAGGGTAGGACGCAAAGAAAGACCGCATCCCGTCCCAATCTGCTGACTTATAGTGCCAAATACGGCGACAACCCATAAAGCGGGGCCGTGAAGGGCGCGTAGATGGCACAGTACTCCGGACCACACTATGATCTGATGAACCCAATGGCGGGTCAACAGAGACTTGATAGTTCTCCGGATGAGAAGTCAGCAGAAGGTCCAACAAAGAGGGTTTATGACCATCCACATCTGGTATTCGCGTAATCGCAGGGACCATTTGTGTCAGGTCGTAGGCTAAAGCAAAGTCGTGAAAGGATCTTCCCGCGTGATCGGTGGTTTCAGAGCCGAGCCAATCGGCATGGTGGGCGTTAAAATCGCCAAGTATCACGATTTCAGCGGTAGGAACCCTTTCGAGCAGGGAATCTGTAGCCATTTGGATGTGCTCAATGAGTCGGTCAGTTTCGGTATTTCCGCTATGGGACCTATACAGGCATGCGTAGAATCGCGGATGGTCATCGCAGTCTACGCGCAGCCAGAGGTTAGATAGGTCCCTTCCTTCAAGCGTCCCGAGGCGACGAGAACAGATATCCTCTCTGACGTACACGCAAACTCCAGCCCGCGGCACAAATGAATGTTCCAATTTGTACCCCGGGTAGGATAGGTGGGAAGTATCAGCCGGGGAGGATATCTGAGTCTCGGTAAGAAAGAGCAAGGCCGGCTTCGCAGTCTCTAGATGATAGTGGACAGCGTTGATGTTAGAATTAAGCCCCCTAACATTTGTGAAGTCCACGGCGAGTGTGGACGGGGGTGCCTTTGTATAATTGCTCCGTTTGCCCCGAGGACGATTACTATTTTTGTAGAGCGCAGAATTGCCCCCCCCAGAATACGAAGGGCAGCCTGTGCGTCCACCACCGGGTGCTGAGTGTCCCGGTGGTGGACGCCCAGAGGGGGATTCTCCACCGCGAGCGCGTGTGGTACCCCCTGGGGTAGATTCTGTTTTTTCTGCACCTTCATATTTCTTGTGTGGGGGGATGGGCTCCGGGAATCTCTCTCACCGCACGAAACGCGAGTACAAGAAGGCGAACCTTTTGCATCACTTCACGCCGGTTTTCTGAGAGACAGTGGTACTGCCCCGGTCGTGCCTGCCCATTTGGCTGAAGCCCGAAGGCAACAGCATGGCACTCCCACTAGGAAGGGGTTGACTGATTGCGCTGATGAAATAACCTCTGTCACAGGTTATTTCACCAGTGGGCGATGGGGTCGTCACGTCCCGACGCCTAAAAAATATATTAATATTAATACTGCATAAATAAAATAAAAAAATATTATAATTGCATAAGTTGATAAAAAATACTATGCAATAGCTTTACCGTGGCAGTCCCCGAGTGCCACACGTTACTAATAAACCTCAATGGTCAATTAAATATGGTAATTATTTACAGAAAAGATGGTGAAGATTGGAGACAAAGTGACTACTTGGGTGGTGGATCACTAATACACAAATCCGTTGTAATAACTGCAGCTCATAAAGTTCATACGCTGAAGGCAAATCAGGTAATCCATCAAATATTTCAGCGTGCGAGTCTCTTCCCTGAGGTGATTGGTTCGATCCCCGGCTGTGCACCAATGGACTTTTTATGTGCGCATTTAACATTCTTACGGTGAAGGAAAACATCGTGAAACAGGCTTGCCTTAGACCCAAAAAGTTGACGGTTTAGCACAGTAGGCTAATCACCTACTTGCCAATTATATTGACTAACGATCATGAAACAGATACAGAAATCTGAGGTCCACACCTAAGAAGGTTGTAGCGCCACTGGTGTTTATTTTTTTGTAATTATTTAAATAGGGAGAACAGTCAAATACTTGTGAAAATATATTAGAAAAAGGATATACACGAGAGAAAATGACATGGCTCTGGCACGGTTTGTGCATTAGCCAGCGTCAAGTATGAGATTTTTATCATTCGTGCTTTTTGCCTTAGAAATTCGATCATGTCCTCCATGTACGGTTTAGGCACTAGCCCGGTACCGCACAACCCTCCCAAAGGCCGAGAACAAATTTAAATTAAATTAAAACTTGCCCTCGAACCGGGAATCGAACCCGGTACCCCTCACCTAGCTGCCACTTAATAAGACCGCTTTTTTTTTTTTTATAAATTACGCGTCACGTTGTTTGTCCGCTATGGACTCCTAAACTACCGTACCGATATCAATTAAATATGCACACCGTGCGTAGTTTGATCCAACTTAAAAGATAAGATAGCTTACATCTTAATTTATACCCGCAATGTAATTTTATTGCAAATTATTTGATTATTATTTGACACAATTCTAACAGATGGCGCTGTGTTGAAAGTACCAACGTTTCACATAAGCTACAATTTAATGGCATAACCACCAAAAAGCATGGTGATCCCCATGGCTGTTGTTTTCCTGCCGTTTCCTGTGAATAGTTTACTACTATGTTATATAAAAAAAACCTTAGCCACAGCAACGCTTGGCCGAGTCTGCTAGTTACATATTATATTTTTGAAGTTATACTTCTTTAGGCGCGTTATGAAAAATTTATGAGAGTGAAATTTTACGATGCGCGCGCACCGTGACACAAAATTATCAGTATGGGCGTCGAGCGTGCGCGAGCGAGATGGGAATAAGACAAGTAAAAAGAAATAGAATATGCGTGACGTTAGCAGCTATGCCAAGAATTTTGAATGACCATAATGACTTTGTAGTACCTTTTAAACAAATAAAGGAGTTTTAATTATTTTTTCAAAGAAATTTAGCAATGCTTTTTCACAAAGACCTATTGTTACTTAGTTAAAAGGTTAAGAAACCTACCTAGTAATTATTATTAATATTAATTAATAATTGAATAATATACTAAATATTAAATATTGTTAAATTATTAACGCTTAATATTTATTATTAATTATTTAAAAAAAAAAATAAAGCCAAAGAAGTATAACTTCTTACGCGCGTACATAAGTACACGCACCATTTTTTTTTAAATCAAGTTAATTTTCTCTTAAAGAGAAACACACCAGTCCTTTTATACGTTCGGACGGTGCGGACAAACGTAGGTTATAATGTTCCAAACAGATTTCCCTCTGCAGTAAACGACGCTTTGAGGGCATGCGAGTCTGATCCATTTCGTGACAGTCTCCATCCAGGTCCTCAGGCGTTAGTTGCTGCAGCCATTGTTCCGTCACCAATTAGAATTGCATATTTGATTTAATATACGTAATATATTAATAAAAAAAAAAGTTAATTGTATTATTTCTTTTCTCTTTTATTATTGTTATGTTTTCCTTATATGTTTTTGTGTGTTGTGTGTTCGCTGTGTCTGTTTCGTTAAGCCTTTAAAATATATATTATATATATATGACAGGTAAAATGTCGTGCTGGTGAATGGGACACTAAAACGACTAACGAGGCGTATCCACACCAGGAACGAGACGTTAAAGATATAGTGATACATTCAGATTTTAACAGACGTAAGTTTATCAAAAGTTAATTTATCTTTAGTATTAAAAACGGGATTCTTACAAACCTTTATCTCAAACTCAAAATAACTTTATTCATATGGGTAACCAAGTACACTTATGAATTTAAGGCCGGCAACGCACTATCCCTTAAAATCAGGTGACGCCTATGTCCGGTTTTGGTTCATAAAAAAAGAAGGAAAGAAACCTTTATCTGAATCACCAATTAAATAAGTGTCAAAAAATCTGGTTTGATTGGCAATGTTTGTACAGTAAAATTTCATTACGGACGTCGAGGCAGAATACGAAATACCACCCGTATCACCTCAACGTCCGTCGTTCCACAACTGAGCGTTTCTCAAGGCAACTTTTCAATTACTAGTTGACCCGGCAAACATTTTTTTAGTTCAATAAAAATAACTAAAGTCAAAGTCAAAGTCAAATCGTTTATTTCAATTAGACCATCTAAAATGGCACTTTTGAACGTCAAAAAAAAAAAATATAAAGATGATTCTAGTTGCCCCTTCTAAAAGGTAGTTTCGTGTGGAGAAGAATGGGCAAGAAACTATCTAGGTACTATTATAAAAAATAGGGTTTGATCTTAGAGTGAAAATTAAGGGTTATATGTATTTTTGTATGCTGTATCATAAACAAATTAAAACATAAAATTTTGTGTAAAAAATTAAATTTACGGGGAAAACGTTTCGTTTAATTTACACAAAATTAAACGAAAATCGGTCGAGCTATTTCAGAGGAGTCTACAAACTTATTATTAAATTAGTTATGCGCTTACTTGTAAATGGTTACGCAAATTGTTTGACGAATATTCCTTTAAAAAAAATGCGTTCATCATTTTAGAATGACGTATAACCGTAATGCATGTTAATTTCTATAAATACGTAAACCTAGTTAATTTTTTTAAGAGCAGTGTTGGCCTAGTGGCTTCAGCCTGCGACTGTCAACCCTGAGGTCGTAGGTTCGAACTCAAAAGACTGTCTATATGAATTTAAAACTCGCTTGTACCGTGAAGGAAAACATCGCGAGGATCCGGCGTACCTTAGACCTATTCCTAGGCATATTTACTTACCTCAAACGAAAAAGATACAAAAATCTGAGGCCCAGAACTATAATATATTTTTTCAGGTCAGTTCAAAAACAACGTGGCATTGTTAATATTGCAATCGCCATTCGACCTGTCCGTACCTCACATTGGTACCGCGTGTTTGGAGAGCAAAATGCCCCCACCTGGGACCGAGTGCTACAGCATGGGGTGGGGCCAAAAGGACTTTAATAAGGACGAGTATGCTGTCATTTTGAAAAAAGTAAGTGCGCCTGCGCGTGGGTACGAAGCACAACACCAAATGCTCATCACATCGATGTTCGTCTCAGCCGGGGATCGAACCCGGGACCCATGGATTCGCAGTTAGGGGTACTAACCACTAGACCAATGAGTCGTCTATTCAGTTCTCAAAGGTTAATAATAATAAAGTGTTATATCCAATCTTCCTTCAACACCTTTTCACGGGTAAAGGCCTCCTCCAGCTTTTTCCAAATACCTTTTTTAGAGCGCTCTCTTCTTGAAGGACCAAGGGCTCCTTTCGACATAGTTGTCTTTAAAGTCCACTTTTTATCTGTGCCTCTTGCTTTATGCCCCGCCCAGTTCTAAAAGGTTAGTGATAATAAATTCTTTGTTCGTCTTTTATTCGGTTTTTGCTTAGAAGCAGATTGGAGATAACGTTGCAAACTTCATGCAAGTGTTAATTTTATTATTATTATTATTAAAGCTTTATTATCCATACAACAATTGGTTAGTTTGCATTCCTTCATATCAGTATTAGTTGTGTTAGTATAAATTTATGTTAGACTCGGCCAAGCGTTGCTGTGGCTCAGATTTTTGTTATATTACATTAAACTATTCAAGAGAAACGGCAGAACACCAATCCACCATCCTTTTTTGGTGGTTATGTCATTAAATTGTAGCTTATGTGAAACATTGGTATTTATTTTGATAAGGATCAATACCTAGGTACGAATAAAGAGCCTTTTTTAGCGTTGGTATTTTAATATAAAAAAAAGAATAAATGGACGCTTATTGTGACGTAACTATAATAGATAGAGACATGCTGTCGCGACATTTTTCATAGATAGTGATGTGTCCTGAAAAATTTTAATACATAATTTTGTTCTATCCTTAATAATTTTCGCAGCGCACGCGATTGAAGGAAGTATTTGATTATTTTTTTACACCTTGGGTTAGATTATTCATGTTTTAGTATGCATCCCTAATTTTTTTGAAAATGAAATTATGTCACTCGGGAATAGTGTAGCTTGCCAACGCTGAAAGAATTTTTGAAGTCGGTCCTGTAGTTTCGGAGCCTATTCATTTCAAACAAACAAAAAATCAAATCTTTCCTCTTTATAATATTAGTATAGATTTATTTTTAGTGGTCTAGTTCTTGTATGGCCCCTTTTATTGTAAAAGCCTCCTCCATATTTTTCCATTTCTCTTTGTTGAGCAACATTCATCCAGTTTTCCCCGCTAATTCTATAATGTCATCTGTCCATCTCTTCTTTTGTCGTCCTATACATCTTTTTCCAGTAGGTCCAGTCCATTCTGTTATTTCCAGCGTCCATCTTCTATCTCGCGTTCTAGCAATATGACCTGCCCATTTCCATTTTAGTCGGCGTGTTTAAGTGCATCTGTAAGGTTTGTTTTTATTTATTTATTTTCTTAACGGTATTCCTACAGCTACTTACTAAACAATATTCAAAAAATTACACTATACACAAAAGCCAAAAACGGAATACACATTTAAACATACACAAAGCACAGTTTCACCTATACAAATACAAAAAATACAAAAAAAAATCTAAGATTCATAGTTCATTATAACATATTTAATATAAAGGAGAAATAACAAAGCCATTCTATCTAATAAATACTAGAGTTTTTATATAATTTCTTAGGCATTTTTTAGATACATTAAATATATCTATTTGCTGGTAATTTCTGTTATAATCTGAAGGTATACGATACATGACTGAGTTACGTAAATAGTTTTTAGACCGAGGAATTTTAAATAGTTGGGTTTGCCTTGTATTGTACGAAGAAGGGGTGTGAAATAGTAAAAGCGACAATAAGTCAGGACAGTCAAACCGTTTTTGCGTCAATTTATTGACACTTATACGCGTTGCAGACCAAGAGCTAAGCTACGTTAGTTTAGCTTAGCTCGCATAGCTGACGCAATTTTCCATACGTCTGTGCAGACCGCAAACTATGCGAACTAAGCTATGTGAGCTAACTAAAATATGCGAAGCTAAGTTAGTTGTGTATGCCGATGCGCAGCTACACGAGCTAAGCTAAGCCCCTCGCGCTACCCCGCACACCCTTTGCACATACTATGCAACACTGACTGAGCTTTGGGTTAGCTGTTGGTGTGCACGCTATTTATTTCTAGCTTAGCTTAGCCTAGCTTGCTTGGCATAGCTTAGTTTAGCCTTGGCATAGCTTAGTTTTCGGTCTGCAACCGGCTTTAAAGCTCTTGCTAGATAGAACTTCTTAATTGATTTGCCGTAACGTCAACGATTCGAGCTGTGATCGTACGAGTCTCAACTTTAGTTTAGAACGCCTGTGCATAAATTAACTTTTTATTGCAACACAGTTAAGTTAAGTAAGTAAGTTAGTAAGATATTCAAATAAATGAAACACTTTGTTTGAAGTGTCAACTGTCTTTTATCGTTTAAAAGAGTTATGACCCAAAATTAGGGGTAGTGGGGATGCAATGTTGGACTGCTTTAAGGGATCTAAATCTAAGTGACACTTCTGCCTTGCGATTCTGTAACTCACTTTTCGAACTCTCACAGCGGTTTTCGCAGCGGCGGTCGCGCTCAAATTTTTTTTTAAACACACCAATTGACCTAGTCCCATGCTAAGCTGGTAAAGCTTGTGTTATGGGTACTAGGCAACGAATATACATACATATTATAGATAGATAGACATATAAATACATATTTGAACACTCAAGACCTAAGCACAACACCAAATGCTCATCACATCGATGTTCGTCTCAGCCGGGGATCGAACCCGGGATCCATGGATTCGCAGTCAGGGGTACTAACCACTAGACCAATAAGTCGTCAAATTGCTCAATAGCGTGAAGCAGTCATTTTATGATTTAGCATTCTAATAAGGAGGGAGCTTGTAGTTTATTGTTTATCAGAATGCCAAATCATAAAATGACTGTGAGTTCGAAAAGTGAGTTACAGAATCGCAAGGCAGTAATCTAAGTACCTCAGATATAGAAGGCTGAACACCAACTTGGCAAAAGAAACACCACCATATTTTTTTTTTCTAGATATCATCACCTCTATTGGATAAGTCTGTATGTGAAAGGGCATTCCGACCTATTGTAGGATCTGCCTATACTATGGATGACTCCATGACATGCGCAGGAGGAGTTCCCGGTATAAGTAATTGTAAGGGAGATGGTGGATCACCCCTTATATGCCCTGTACCCGTAAGTATGGAATAGTATGGAAAAATTTATAAAGTAGAATATCGCTTGCCCCGGGGCGAATTTGTTAAAGCAATTTTTTGAAGTGAAACTTCTTTAGGCGCATGAGGTGTTACGGATGAAACGCAATAATAATATTAGCGTCACGAAGATGTGCAGTGTTTTTGTCGAAGAAAAGGGAGAGATCGATTGAGACCGATTGAGAGTGAGTTAGAAGGGCGAATTACCTTATAGAAATTCTATTCTTAAAATTAAAATTGTTAGTCGTTATTTACTTCGTTATTTCTGTAAACTAACAAGAGAAAAAAGGTATTTAATACATTGAAAGTTTTATTATAACGCATTATCTAGTTAAATAAAGTTTATTTAAATATCACAAAAAAAAATCTACATAATTAAAGAAATGGACGTATTTTATCTTAAAATGTTGACTATGCTAACTTCAGGGTGTCGGTTTTTGTGACAATGTGAGCGCGCATCCTAAAAATTTACTCTCATAATTTTTCCCTAACGCGCCAAAAGTAGTATAACTTCAAAAATCGCAACTAATTTGTTATTAATTAAAAATTTATTCCAGTCATCTGAAGGCACTCGGTACGCTGTGGTGGGATTGGTCGTTTTGGGACACAAATGTGATGTGAATGGTTTTCCGGTCGCCTTCACGAAAGTGCCACAGGTGTACAACTGGATAGAAGATATTATGAAGACCAAGAATTACGATACCACCTCCTTCGAATACTAAACTAAAATATATGTTAACTAAATTAATGTGTTTTATTTAAATATATTCACAAAGATAGAGTTCCAATTCGACTTAGGGTCCTTCAAGAAAAGAGCGTACCAATTATTAAAACGCCGGCAACGCACTCGCGAGCCCTCTGGCATTGAGAGTGTCCATGGGCGGCGGTATCACTTAACATCAGGTGAGCCTTCTGCCTGTTTGCCCCCCGTCATGAATGGTGCGTTCCACTAAGCGTTCACAACGCTCACGCTCACGACCGCTGATTTCCCCATTCCACTTGATTGTGAATGTTACTGTCGTTAACTCAAGTGGAATGGATTATGGAGCGTTTCGGGCGTTCATGTAAATATTACAAATGTCAAGTTTGAAAATAGTAGAATTTTAAGGAGGTTAGGTAATCCTAAACAATAAGTTTTAATATTTGTGACTTAAATTTATTTATGTTAAAAGTGAAGAATAATTGAATATTTTATAAATAATTTTGGTGAAGTTATCAAACAACTTATAATCGAAATGGCTTTGGCGGCAGTTGGATATTATAAAATGTATTTTAAAATATTTGGACTACAAAGTCTTGTCTTTTTAATAAAATTTGTTTCTGTTACTTTAATAATATAAAAGGAATTATAATAAAAGTAATTTTCATGCTTACAAACAAATTTTTTTTAATTTAACATTTAAATGCTTATTTGTTGGCTAATTTTTCTAAATCTTGAAGAAATTTCTCATCCATTTTCATTCGCTCTAAGTGTCTTTTTTTTATTTTCTTCATGTTCCTCTTTTTGATGCAATCTTTTTCCCAGTAAAGATGCTATCGACGCCTTACTTGTTTCTAGAATGAAATTGAATTTGTAAGTTAGTTACAATTAAAATTATCTCACATAATCAACCTACTTAGTGAACATCCGCTATCAGATCCCGCTGTACTATCATTATTTTCTGCTTCTTTCAACGACAGACCAGTAGAAGATGCAACTGCAACTGGATTGCACCATGCTTTTTTGCCAAAAATTTTATCCATAATCTACCAAAAGTATATTATAAAAATTAATAATTATAAAAAATATATTTCATGAATAAGAAAATTGTTTATTGGTTTTATAAAGTATTCAAGTAAATGAAAGATTTATGAAAATATTGAGTAATTTGTACTAACATCGTAAAACTGCCATGTCTTTCTATTATTTCCTGACTTATTGTTATGATCCTTAGTAGATTTATATGTTTTTTTAAGCTTCGTATTTTAGAATGACACTGCGGTCCCGTCACATCGTATCCTTTTTTCTTCATATCTTGGCATATTTTATTCCATACTTGTTTTTGAGAAATTTTTCCACTGGTCAGAGTTCCTTCCATAGACCTATATAATTCCAATAATAATAATACGCAGGGTGAGTTCCACCTGTATACTGAAGTTTCTCCTGTGCAAAAAAAAATATAATTAAAATTCTCGCATCATATATATGAAATAAAATGATAATAGAATTTCAGATGTTCATTAAACCTTCAAATTCTGGAGTTTCAGAGTTGAGATCGGTTGGATTATCACTATCAAGTCATTCTTCTCCAATAAAACTCTCTGAAGTCTCTTCATCGTATAATTCACTAGATTCTTGATCAACTTCAACAGATGCGGAAGCTTCAGAATTTTGATTAATAATTTTTCTTAACAGCTCAGTTGCAAAAAATACATCTACAAATAAAATAAATTTACCAAATATATATATTATTAATGATAATAAATATCGTTTACTTATTGAGTTAGGTTATGCTATCCATTATTCAGGAAAAATGTATAAATATTTGTTGAATATAAACTAAAATCATAAACGATAGCTTCTACTACAATTTCTCTTTCAGAATCATATAATGTTATTTTTCTTGTCGCCATCTTTAAGCTTTGAATATCATATTTCAAAAACAATGTCAAAAATTGCGCCAAATTATTCTCAACGTTCACAACGACCCACCTCTTTAGATGGGTCGTTGTGAGCGTTGCGTGAGCATTAGTCATGACGTCATGAGTGACGTTTTCGCCGTGACCACAACGACCGCGGTCGGTATGTGGAATGGCTAAAGGAGCATTTTGATCGTCGTGAGCGCTTAGTGGAACGCACCAGAAGAATCATATAAAAATGAAAAAACAGATTCCAAATTCAAATGCAATTTTTTTTAAATTTTCAATTGTAACAGTAACATGGCCAGATTAAAACTAACCATGCTAACGGATTGTCTCTTTCCCTAAAATATGGCGAGGGGGCCGATGGCTGGCCATTCGTCATACTCGTGAACGGGTCCTACTTGTGGTGACTGGTCGTACTTGAATTTGTGTATGCGGTGATGTTAGTTATTTCGACTAAGTATTTGCGCGTTGTTCCCACGAGAATGTAAGTGCGTGCTCCTATTTCACCATGCCTCTTGCTGATAGAGAACAAATCTTTGTTTTTAATTTATTTTATTATTATACTTAAGATGTCATGTGGAACATGGTTCAATGGTTGCAGCTCCTTACAAACGTTGTGTAATACACAAAACTTGGCGATTGAAAAGAATGGCGGAAAGTTTATTGCCACTTCTTCTCTTCCATTCTACGCCCTTGATTTGAGAACTCCACCAACCAGCGTTGCCAGATTTTTTTATTGTCAAGGCGGGATTTTGGAACTGTTTGAGTTAAAAAAGCGGGAATCTCTCGTCGATAGCGGGACATAGTAACTAAAGGTGATATTTTAAATCAGATTTACCCTATCGTTAAATACTTGTCTTCTTAATAAAAAAAATAAAATAAACAAAACTAAACCAAAAAAAGTATTCATTAGACAATTATGGCGTTTCAAATAATTGTCAGAACGGAGGAATGAGTTTATGATATACCTGGTATCTTTTTTTGGTAGCTGTTAAAAGAGCTGGTGCCATTTCTGAGCATGGCAGTGGTGTCTTGAGTTAACCCCAAAAAGCGGGAAAAAGTCTGTCCCGCGCGGGGCATTTCATTTTCATTAGAAAATCGGGACGTCCCGCCAAAATCGGGACGTATGGCAACGCTGGAACTGGCAGTAAATGTAAAATTAATGTATATTTGTTTTTTTGATGTTCATAAGTGTACACTGTGTTACCTATATGAATAAATGATTTTGAATTTAATAATCAAATCATATCATTATATCTATCAAAAATAATATTTTTTCTATGTTAGCCTACGAACTTTTCAGCCTATCTAATATTCGTCGAGCGAAGAAAGCACCAGCTCTGGGGTCACCGGTACTATCTACCAGGAGCCAACTTAAATCTTTAATTAGCGCCTGTGCCCTTGAACCCCACGGCCCAAGAGTATAAGTTTAACTTATAAATGTTATTTACATTATCCGCACTCAATAGTCACGTGTTATAACTTCAGTTTAGATTACGCTAATTAATTATAAATATAAATTTATCCCGTCTTGTTAGTATCATTTGGGACCTCAATTTATACAGTCATAAAGGTAATATTTTACTTAATTTTAATTGCGTGTGGCTTCAGCGTGCGTCTCTCTTCCCTGAGGTCGCAGGTTCGATCCCCGGCTGTGCACCAATGGACTTTCTTTTTATGTGCGCATTTAACACTCGCTCGTACGAAGGAAAAAATCGTGAGGAAATCGACATGTTTTAGACCCAAAATAGTATACAGCGTGTGTCAGGCACAGGAGGCTGATCACTACTTGTCTATTAGATAGACAAATGAGCACGAAACAGATTCAGAAATCTGAGGCCCAGACCTAAAAAAGGTCGTGTACTAGCATTTAATATAATAATAACATCATGTCACTCAAATTATAGCACCCAAATAAAAGCCATTTTTTATCTCTATTTACGGAGTAGAGCGAGAAAGCCGACTGTCTAATGGGGCTTTTCGTTGCACACACACAACAGTTAAAATATTATTTGAAATTTCTTTTGCCAGGTATCCTGGATCAAAATAATGATGAACACAATTACGTGAGTTAATTTTATTATATTTTATATAATTTCTTAGAAATTAAATTATTTTAAATTTCGTCTAATCTAAGAATTTGTTTGGATTTAACTTTATACAAATTGGCTTAGCATTAGAGTCTGGCTAATGAAAGAAGATAACGAAAAAAGCGCGGCAAATTCAATGTTTTTTAGTATGGTATCCCTAAAAGTTTGATATATTTTATGGATTAAACTTACTTGATTTTATTTTATAATTTTTTACATTGATAGTAACTGTATTTCTATGAAATTCAATACTATACGTATTTAGTCTTTTATTGATACTTAAAATGACTAGCATTGCATAGAAAACAAAAACTATATTTATTATAAAACACAACTTTATTCGGAATAATCAAAATCAGAATCAAAAAAATTAATAAAACAAAGTTTAGGCTATTATACCTGTTAACTATTCGGAAATGTATAAAATAGAAATAAACATGAGTAACAAGACAATGAGTATCAAGACAATAAAACATACTAACCTAAGAAATTCAATGACATTCTGTGTTGCTATCCGAAAGTTTTCAAATAATTCAATTATCTTCTTTCATTAGCCAGACTAGCTAACGTGACAAATCGGTGTCTGACAAATGCTGCTTAATTTAATTTATTTTATTTATGCTCTTCTAAATTATTAATAATTGTATTTCGTGGTTTACTTCTGATGTCTGGGCCTATTCCTACATATACATTAAATAGTAATAATAAAAAAGCAATAAAACAGTGTGTGCGGTAAAAAAAAATGATTACAGTTTGTAGTAAATATAAAATAAAATATGTAAAATTAGATCAGCAACCAATTTGATTTTGCCAAGACTCTATGATTGTCCCATGGAGCAGCACTAGCATGTTCCCAAGCATTCTTATCTAGAATATAATCCTCTAATTTGTAATATGCTTGTTTAAAATACAAAATACACGTCAGTACTGAAACTTTTTGTAAATTAATTATTGAGTAATTACGCTACCCAGTACCCAAATTTAAATTTAATTTTGCCAGTCTTTCC